GATTTGTATTGAAATTTGCAGCCGCGATGATTTTGTATTGTGGATGGTCACTAGGGGTGGCTATACGGTCCGGTCCGGTTAAATTGGCCCAAATTGATCCGGTCCAGTCCAGTCTTTTTGAAAATATAAGGACCGAAGATTGGATTGGATACAGTCAGGTCTTGATCCGGTCAGGTTTTGATCCGGTCCGGTCCCCATTCGGTCTTGATTTTACATTGATATTGTGGGATTTGAGTGGCCTAAGGCCTTAAAGGGTGAGGAGTTGGTTAAGTTTTGTACTAAGTGCAAAGGTTTGTGACCGTTTATGCAAATTACCCTTAAGTTTTGGGTGTTGAGCTCTCTTATCCGATCTTTATCCGGTTTTTTACCTCAAATCTAAGCCCAAAGATTGGATTGGATTGTTTACTATCCGGTCCCGGTCCGGTCTCGGTCCGGGTTATACGGTCCGGTTTCCGGTTTTTAATCCGGTCCCGGTCCAAATAGCCACCCCTAATGGTCACATAAAGCAATAAATCCAACTACTTCTGCCAGAGGTAGTAGCTGCTCAGTTCTCAGGGAGAGGCGTTAGTGGACTTGTGGGCTAGGGTTGTTCTTGTCTCAACTATTGTCATAACATAACAGGGTCATTTGATTCTAGAAATGTTAAAAGTTAAAAATGAATTGAGTATAAAGGATACAAAGATTGTGTCTGTGTGGATGGTAAGAGTAAATAGATAGATAGCTGTCATGCTTCTTGTTTGTTTAATGTTGATAATTTACTTTTGTTGCTGCTGTCTTTGTAATCTTCCATCATCTATTACTACTATTGCTGCTGACATTGTAATAGATATGCTATTTATACATTTGACCATCATGGGATGATATTTTATCTTAGGTCTAGTCCTGCATTATCTTATATATCAAACCACCTTGTTATCTTGCAAGATGGGGAGAAAGAGGCATGCTAGTGGAGATAAGGATGGAGCAACCTCCAAAAAGTACTCATTTTGGCCTGAGAAACTTGACAGGCCTTTGGTCAAATGCATTTTGGAGCTGGTGGAGAAGGGGCTCATTGTGGATGGCAATTGCAAAAATGGCGGATAAGCAGCACTCGAAAAGATGTTGGAACAGAAGTTGCCAGGCTGTGGCATCAGGGGAAGACCCCATATTGAAGGACGGATTAAGAAGTTGAAGAAAAACTGGCAGGCTGTCACATTCATGAGGAATCAAAGTGGATGGGGGTGGGATGAGGTAAACAAGTGTGCCACATGCCCTGATGGAAAATGGGATGATTTTGAATAAGTACATATGTATATATTTATGGTTTGATGTCTTTTGTAGCATTATACTAGGCTGCTTATATGTTGTACAGTCCTCCAAGTATGTATGCATGTATTTATGGTGTACTGTCTTTTGTAGATGTATCCGACTTGTCGAGGTCTGAACAAGAAGCCATTCCCTGTGTATGATGACTTGACTCCACCATTTGCCAAAGGACAATAGGAGGAGGAGAAGAAGAAGAAGAGTGCACAACGAGGCTGCTTGGATGAAATGTATGCTGGATGTTGTTTGAGAACTCGAACAAGTTTTTTTGTTTTAATAATGCTAGTTTACTTATGTTGAACAAGTAATGCTAATAATGCTAGTTTTTTTTTTTAATAATGCTAGTTTACTTATGTTTGAGAAGTCCATGAGTAGTTATCTGTATAGGATCAAGTATTATGTAGGATTATGTATGTTGTACTTAATTGTCCTTCAAAATCGTGGGTAATAAATGAATTGTGGCAGAGAATACAGTGAAGGGTATGGTTGTAAATTCCACAAAAGCTTTCAGAATTAAATTCTCTAATTAATAAATCCCTATTCATAAACAAACAACATATTTAACACAAACCTGGGTTTAAAATACTAGGTAGTTTAATTGGGTGATTGTGGACCAAATCTCTACTTAACTAAATTCTTAATCCAAACGACCCCTTGGTTATTCACGCCATATTTGCGTTATTCACGCCATATTTGTGTCATTCACGTCATATTTGCATTATTCATGTAAGAGTGTTGGTCATTCATGCAACCAATACTGTTAGGTCACGCCACCTGATGTTTATTCACGCATATTGTTAATTATTCACGTCGTTGTAAAATATAATTTTAAACTTTGAAATATATCAAAATGGATGTCTTTGTGTAGATTATGATCAATGCAACATATTTTTACAGATTAAATGATAATCCAAATTTAATTCTGTAAAATATAGCATATACAAATTATTAGGGTGAAAAGTCTGAATTTTTATTTACATGAAAAACTTACTCTCTTACGTAAATCATCATAATATTACGTGAATAAGCACAAAATGACGTGAATGAGTATAAACTGGCGTAAATAAACTTATCTTAGGTGTTCAGTTACCTAAGTACCTAACGTGACAAGAGATGTTTTCCTAGTGCAAAAATGGAACTTTGATTGATGGACAAAGGATTCGTCAACGGATGGATGGTTATTTTCAGAGATTCATATTGCTATCAAGTTGGGTTAACTGATAACAAAGTTATTGTTTAGTACATAAATTTTAGTAGTAGTGTAATCATATTTCAGCACTAATAAGCATGACCGAGGGGAGAGAATAAGAGAGTGGATACCAGACCCGAGAGGAAAATGATTAAATTAAGTGAACTAGTTAATGATATTGAAGGGTATGGTGAATCTCATTGTGACTGGTTGATCAAGAAGTCCTGTGTTCGAATCTTGACGACCTCATTTGTTGAGCACATGATATTAAGATTTGTGCAAAATTCAATTTCATATAAATTTACTTTCTTATAAATGGGTGTGTTAGTAAATGGCATAAAATAATATTATTAAACATTTTCCAACAACTCGAGTTATTGATACCAAACAGTTCTCCATAAAGAACACCATTCAAAAGCATACTAACTAAATCATGAATAATTGTTTGGTATAAGATTCATTATTAATCGTCTCTCAACAACTCGAGTTATCGATACTAAACAATTGTTGACAAAGAACACCATTCAAAAGTGAACGACTAACTAAATAATGAATAATTGTTTGGTACACAAGAAGTGACATTTTTTATAGTTTCGACTAATGATTATATATTTTAATTTATTAACTTTTTATAAATATAAAATTATATCATGAATAATTAAAAAAAGTTAACCATAGCTATTCTACCTCATATGTTTTTTCTCTCTCACTCGATCTACCTTAAAACAAAATCCTTGCTACACCCCTACTAATAAGGTTATGGCTAGAAATGACAATCAAACTTGTAACTGCGGGTACCCAACTAGTGTCGATCCAGTCAAAACGGATATAGGTAAAAACTGCAAAAAAAATTGATGGGGATGAGACAAGTTTCGCTTTAGACTCCCACACTACATACATATATTCATATCCGACCCACCAATAGTAGTTTTTATATGATAAAAATATAGAGATCATATTGTAACATCTCCATGACGGGACTGATCATTAAGAAAATACACATAGTTGAAATGTAAACCAAAACCAAACACTAATTTCCCCCCTCAATTCGTCATTCACTCTTTCAACTTTTACCCCTTTATTGACAAGATTACATTAGTTATTTATTACTTAGTAGATGTGTCAGAGTCGATTGAATGATTTGGATCGTATCGTACTTTGCCTTATGGATTAATGGATTTTAGAATTGAATGCTTTGAATTTGTATAGAGAATGACCGTATCTTTGTCGATTCATGATTGATTAGCTTCGTTTTAATGTTGTAATTGAAAATCTATATATTGAATTCTAGGTATATTTATATTAGATATTAAGAGGTGGGTATTATCAATGGGTACTAAAAAACTGAGGGTATAGGGTATGGGAATAGGGTTGCAGAACCTGCCCCCGAACGGGTATGGGATGGGTATGAGTTTGCATATTCGAAAATGAGGATGAGGATGGTTTAGTAAAATCTACCACATTGTCATCCCTGGTCATGACCTATCAATCGCCCTTTTTGTTTCCCAAGTCGACCATTATTTTTCTTTGTAATGATATGGTTGTGTCATCCAGTTGTCTGCTTTTAGAATGTAATCGAGTGTTTTGTCCAAATCACAACGAATTGCAAGTCGTAAATTGTGGATTGTGTACCACAATTGTACTAATTCGTTAGTAAGAGAATATGTCAATTTGTGATCAAAACTCACTCAACTCACCTATTGCCTAGAGTAGTAGATCATTTGCGGGTAAACTATTATCACCCATACACGTCAATGCAAGTTTGGGGAATGAGCAAACGTAACCCACCCATCCAAACCACCCTCCATCTTTATAGAGATGAGCCACCCAAAATCGATGAACTAACCATTCAACTGACTAAGCCTGGCTAACCAGCCGCCTTACTAACCCCAATCGAAGCTACTTGGATGGTCATGTAATCCATGAGATGAGAGCAATCATTTTCTCGCATAATCATCAAATCATGGGAAGCTCAAGGGCTAAGTAAACAAGTCCTCCTTTTCGACTAACCTTCAAGTCAAGTGGTCTCTACTCTCTACAAAGTACAAATAGCTGAAGTAGTCCAGCGGCCCAGCATTGAGTTCATATTGGGCCCAATCTCACTTCTCTCTGGACTAAACAATCCAATCCAATCCAATTTGTCTGCCTTGGCTCTCAGGTTTAACCAAGCAAGCACCCAGGTCCCAGAGAGTGCTCCTTCTTCATCTTTCATATAAAAGGATCTTGACGGTTGTGATGTAGTCGAGTTTATTCAATTCACGATACGTTTCATTGCATTTCATTTCATGACGTTTGATGGTCGCCTATTGTAATCACTATCATCGTTGCTACCACGTTATTGTTATTGTTTTTGCTTTTTTGGGCTTACTTAGCCGTGCTAGTGTAGAGCCTAGGAGCTTCAATCATGCCAGGCGTGCCTAGTGTAAAACTAGAACATCCTACTCTCTAAGGAGCGGCGTCCGACGATTAAAAAAGGTGTTTTATCGATTTCAGATTTGGTTTGGTTAATACATGATCAAATTCTTTATTCTATTTTATGTTATAAGCCAACTGCAAACCGAAACAATAAATTTCCAAACCGAAATCAGTTCTTCCAAGCCAATTCATGCAGCAACAATGAAGGAGGGCATCATAAAGAAGTCAATGGTTAACAGAAGCACACGGAAAAATATAAGATACACAATTGAAACTTATGAGAAAAGAGTGAAAGAAACTAATGGCTTCAACATCACTGAAAATACCAACCTTGAGTAAACTGAAACCTATCAAATTACAACTAAGATGGCAAAGGTTCTAATAATTTCCTATCAGTACACTTCTATCATCTACAAAGCCACCTATTTGATAAATACATTCTCTGTATCCTAATGTCTTCAATCAATCACTTGGAGGCAGCAATGCACTAAGGCTGCTTAGTGTTTGTTCTTACGGGATTATGGTGCAGACTTTCGAGGCTAGATCGATCTTATAAGTACCGACAAATCGATGCCCTGCTGATGAAATTAGCTTCTTTCAAAGCTGGCAAATGCAGTAGTAAGAGGTTAAGGACTTCTGCCACAATTCTTCCTCCAAATTTGGGACCTTGATTACTTGGTTCCAAATAGCTTGTGGCGTCTAGTTTTAGTTTGTTTGCCACCAAAGAACCAAACTTTAAGTCAAATGGGACAAAACCCTCTTTTTGGTTTTTCCTGCTATATGTGATCTACTACCTGGGAATTGGGAAGATTACCGGCGAGTGCCTCCGCCGCGACGATGAGAGGCAGAATCGGCGGTACAATCAATGGTTTCTTCTTCATCTTCCTCTTCTTCTTATTACTCAAAGCCAAGGCCCTCTTCTGCATAGCTGCCAAAACATTGTGCCACGTCTTTACCCTGGACGGAGTTCTCCCGTTGAACCCAACGTTCATCACTTCCAAATCCTCTGCCTCCACCGCCGCCACTTCCTCCGGCGCCGCGCCGTCGAGCAGCCAGACCAAACACGAGATAAACCCTTTTGTAATCTCCGAATCGCTGTCCGCCCGAAACCTCGCGTTCCCCTCTTCGTCCAATTCGACCTCCAGCCAGACCTGGGTCGTGCAGCCCCCGACCCGGTTGGATTCGACCCGACTCGATTCGTCAAACGGCGGGAGCCGGCCCGCATAGTCGAGGAGCCGCCTGACCCGATCCAGCGGCTCCGTCAACGACCCGAACTCCGAAACCAAGACCCGGAGCCGGTCGCCCAGGAGCCCGGGCTCGGAAATCGCTGCGGTGAGGCACTCCGCTGTGGCGTAGCGAACGGAAAGGTCGGGTCTTTTATTATTCCCCTGCCGACCCGGGTCGGAGAATCGATTTTCCCGCCGGCAATTGCATTCGAGAGATGAATTCGGCGGGATCCGGATTCTGGGTATGAATCGGTTGCGATTGGGTCGAAGATGGTTGGTGTTCTTTTCGTGAGTTAAGGAGGGGAAACGGAGATGCGGCTGGTTGAAGGAGGTGGAGATCATGTTTGGTTGCCGAGAAAATGGGAAATTTCAGGGTAGGAAAGGAGAGACCTGAGAAAAAGGGAAATCTGGGGAAGAAGAGGGGAAAAGAAGAAAAAGAAGGAGTTCCTTGAATTGCGCGCCTCGAATCTCTGCCTCTGGACTGAAGCGATAGGATTTTTTCGAGGAAATTTACGAGACAGAGGAAGAGACAGAGGCAGAGAGAAACAGAGGATGGAGGGAGTGGAACAAAGCAACCGATGGAATGGAAAGAGGAAGACAAGGGAGGTAATATAAATGGATTTGTGGCACTGGGGTCAGGTGGGGAGGCAACCCGCCAAAATTAGTGGGGGTAATTAAATGTAGTTTATTTGTTTCCAATTTGGTCCCTCGATTTTGGTCGTTCCATATTTACGCATTTATTCCAACTTTTCCTTCCTTTTCTCTTTCGGGAATTTTAGGTGACAGATAATTATATCATTTTTCCTTGTTTCAACTTAAAAACTCAATGGTGCTAACATTAATTTTGGTCAATAGAAAATCATATTTTTTCTGATTTTCTATGTTTAAATATTGACCTCAATTTAATATTGCTTTTAGAAGAAGGGGTACACTTATAAGCAATGTAGTCAAAATTACGCAAAAGCATAGTTTTTATGACTAATGTAGTTAAAAATGCGTTTTAAAGTTTAAAAACTTACCATTTGCCCATGTGACATTCGTTCTCTTTAATCATTTTATTTATTATAAAAAAAATAAAAAAACTCACATTTTTAGTGTTTTACGCTTTTAGTTCACCAAAACCCAACGCGATTTGGAAAATCACGAGAGCAATAGTGTGTCATCTCTTCTGCATTTCGTCCTTAGCTGAAAACAACTGTTTTTCACTTTCTTTCAAGAAGGAAAAAAGGACGGGTTGCCAACATGAAGCAGAGAATCACTGTTGCAATAATGACAGTGGTCAATAATATAATTGTGGAAGAAACAAAAGCATCGCCACTGCCAAAACGAAGACGGCTGAATCTCGACATCTTTGAACAAAATTGCCACGAACGAACTCCCCATTTTCATTCCGTTTTCTTGGATTTGAGTGATGGTAATGTTGGAGGTAGCTAGGGACGACGAGCAGGAGACGATTTTATAACCGTCGTCGTCGTCCTTTGTCGCGAGTTAAAGAGAACGATGTAAATACACCTGAAAATATAAGTAATTTGGTTGATTTCCATCGCTGTCTATGGAGGAAGATTTTTTTTATAAGGGTGAAATCTATGATGAAGATTCATGTGGCATTTTTCTTCCATTTCAAATTTCCTGTAACGAGAGTGAAAGTGTCTTCCATTTCAAATTTCCTGTAACGAGAGTGAAAGTGTGAAGGGTATATTTGTCATTGCAAATGTTTATTTCTTATTTGAAAAAATATATCAATGTCAAGATTCGAACCCGAGTCACTTCCAACGAAGATAAGAATCACAACCAATTATACTAAAAAAATTTGTTGTATTTTTTTAAATAAAAAATATACAAGAAGCTAAAATATGAAAATCAGATAACTTTCCCAACACGATTAGCTAATCCACTAAGTCTTCCTTAAATATATTTTAGTGCTTGATACTTTGATTTCAAATTTTTATTATTTTATTTTGAATTCAATAATAATTATTGTTTGTCTTATAAATGGAGGATAATCTGCCAATCGCAACTCAAATATCATTGTTTCGAATACACTAAAATCCACGACACAAATACACTTTTTCAAAAAATATTTATGAGTATTTTTAATAATTTATATATTTGACATTTACATTGTTGTTGATTGGGAATGATTGTTAATGAACTTTCCATCAAATTTTCGGTATAGTTAGGTTATTTACCGTGCTTGCTAATTTGGGACATAGAATTGACTAACCCCAATTAGTTAGTTGTAATACCATATAAAAGTAGTGGTGACTATATTGTTCTTAATTTCCATATGAGTTCATACACATAAATGTAAATGAAAACTCTGTATGTGACAACCTGGAGATACGATTCAGCCTATCTAACCCATTTCCCTGAATAAGTCATCCAATTGGGTGCTTTGACAAAATATTCTATTTCGGATGTCAATGGACGAGCGGGTGGGATTTTGCTATTATGGGATGAACTCTTTGCATGCTCTTTCGAGAGTTTAGAAACATATCTGATCTTTGCCATCCCGCGGCCTACATCTAAATATAAGTGAGAAATGTATGAATAGATTTAATAGTCATATTAGGTGAAATTTGAGTTCGTTCAATTTTGTGGCGAGAGTTGGCATTGAAAAATTCTTATTTGTATCAATGTTTCATATAATAATTTATTGAAAGTGTCAACAATCATATTTTTTTGATAAGTTGCCTGCAAATACAACTCGGGTTCAACTTTGAAGCGATTCTCCAATTCTTCTTGCAATATTTGCATCTCCGTCTTTTTTAGAATTCATCATCGGCCAACTCTCTTTCCTTTTGAGTTTTGAATCGTCGCCATCCTCAAGCGCTGACGACACTCCTCCAGCCCTGAATTCGTCCCTGTTAACTTCAATAACTCCAGTGGTTCATGTGCTTAGAGTTTTTTCATAATTGAATAGTTTTAAAAAACAAAGTTGCCCATAATTGCACTCTGTACTGAACCCTTAAGCTAATGTTGTTCAATCTATATAGCTAAACATAATAAACTTAGTTATTTGTCCACTACTATCTCAAATATGTATGATAAACTTACACTATAGCAATGAATGCAAATGTTAAAGAACAATTATATTCGAATGATTTATAAATTTTTGTTTGAAAAAAGCTAAATTTATTTCACTTATTCACATTGAAAATAGTAAAATAATAAAAAAATATATGTCAATGTTCCTATATTATTTGTAATATATAATTTGTGTCATGATCAACAAATCAGATAAAAAAAATCATGTATACATTGAACTCTATCAAAGTACAATGATTATTCTTTTATAGTGAAGATTGATTATGTATGTATCATAGGAACAACTCACATATTATTTATGGACTGATTATATATGGAACACTTTGTTTGTAAACATACATGTCACTATAAGATATAAGTAGCATTCCTTTTTTAGTCATTTTGACTTTTCTCCTGTTTTCGATACTTTCGAAGCATACTTGAAATAATTTGAGTATTTGACTAGAAAGTTCATGCAAAATACCAAACAAAACAGACATCATTAGAGTAAATGACACATACAAATTATATAACTATCGAACTCTACCGACCAACAGGCCGGTCCTTGTGCTAGTACATTAATAAAAGTAATTAAGAGTTTAGGAGAATCAAAGAAAAAAAACAAGACAAAAGAAGTTGCGCTCAACTCGGTACAACATCAAACCAAACAGAAAGACAGACAAACGAGAAAAAAGGAAGGAGGAGGAGATAGTAAGAACACAAAACATGACTCTATCAGCAGCAGATGAAAGCATCTTCAGACAACAAGGAGGCCGCAAACCACCCAACGCTTAAACCTCAGCGACACCTCCTTCAGTGCAGCAACTCAATCGAACAAAACCGCAACGAAAGCGTCCTCCTTTAGCAAGACATGAATGTCAAAGAACACGAGAACCATGACCCGAACCCCGAACAAGAGCCAATCTAGGGAGCTGTCACCGCCTGCAGATGTTGACCAGTAATTAGGGATGGCAACAAAACCCGAACCCACGGGTACCCATCCGACCCAACTCGGTCAACGCGGGTAAAATCCGTGTTGACGGGGTTTGGGTTTAAACCCGTTCACTATTCACCGGGTTGGGTTGGGTTTGGGTTTAGGTAAACCCAACCCATGGGTACCCGCCCACACCCATATAATTAATTTTCTAAGCATATTTAATATTCTAAACAACTAATCTTATTTATGTTTGTGGAGACATGCCTAATTTTTTCTTTCTAGTTATGTAGTATGAAGTTGATGTTATCGAGTGGAGAGTGAAAAACTTAATTGAAAGGAAGAAGCTTTCAATTAATCATGTTATTTATGGATAATTTGTGATTTGCTTCAATTTTCTTGAGTTTTCTAGATTGGTGTTGAACAATTTGTATAGTTAATTTGTTATTTGCTTGAATTTTCTAGAATGGTGTTTTATATATGGATAATTTGTATTGGGCGATTGATATTTGACTTTAATTTTGATAGGAATTTGTTATTGTGAATTTTTTACGACAAAAACCCGTGGGTACCCATGAACCCGCGGATACCCAGCGGGTTGGGTTTGAGTTTTTCAAACCCAGTGGGTTTTACCCCGGGTTTTTTTTCACGGATAAACTCATGGGTTTGGGTTTGGCAAAACCCGACCCAACCCGACCCATTGCCATCCCTACCAGTAATGAGTTCCACCTTAAACCTCTCAAGCCAACCTTCGCCTACCTGCCTTTCAATATTTCCCGCCACTATAAGCTACGAAGCAAGCAACCTTCCAACCGAAAAGGCAACCACCTTGGCTGGAGTGCATTTGTCCTCGAATATCCTACCATTCCTTTCACCCCAAATACACCACAACAGAGCATGAAGAAAAGACCCGGTACACCATGCCTTGGGCCCCTGCGGCTTCTGAAAAGGCCATCTTCTAATAACTACGGAAATATCTCCTTGAAGTAGTTTGCTTCGGATGTGGACAAAGGGTCTTAAGATTCGCAAGACGTGGGAGGAGGAAGTTCCTGCTGATGTTTTCGTTGGGCACAAGTTTTCTAAAATATACCAGAAAATTCATAAAGTTGTATACAAGTATCATGAAGGAGATCGTAAAACTCATACCATATTAGCAACACGACAAACCACACCACAAAATTCATAAAATAAACAAGAAATCTCATCAAGTTGAACATAAGTTTTCTGAATCATACCATAAAACTCATAAAGATGACAAACCACACCAGTAAACTCATAAACAAGTTTTTCGAAGCAAAATAGAAAACTCATAGATGATCACAAGTTTTCTCAAGTAGACAAGAAAATTCATAAAGTTAACGACAAGTATCATGAAGCAAACAAGGAAACTCAAAATAGACCATAAACACAACAAACCACTTAATAGAATTCATAAAGTAGACCAGAACCTCATAAAGCATACCATAAAATTTAGAAAGCACACCACAAATAAGACAAAGCTCATCACATCACAAAATTGATAAAGCATACCAGAAAACTCAAAGCTCACCACAAGTTTCTTGATGCAAACAAAAAACTTCTTAAAACTGATCGAAAGTATCATAAAGCAAACCAGAAAACTCATACCAGACCAGAAGTACACA